GCCCAAATGAAAAATTTTGTAATTTGCCTGAAGAACTTTCGAGAGAGTCAATCTTCAGGCTCTGTTTCGAACCCGGTACGTCCCGAATACGAAATGCTTTGTTTGATAAGTATGAATATGAGATGGCTCTGTTAGAGCTCCGTGGGCAAAAACCCGTAATCCTGGTTATGATTCCTATTATCATGATTCCACGGTAAACAATTAGTTCGAGCAGAGTGCGCAGAGAGACACGAGCCACTGCATCACTTCCTGTAAACTCGACAAGAGAAAAACAGTTGGCGTGCTGCACTTTTCGTTACTCTTGCGTTTTCATACAACTTCATTTTAATGGCTACTTCTTGAAACAACTTCCTTCCGGTCTTGTGCTTAGACGCGTGTCACTAATTTCACAGTCCCGTTCGCGCGGCTTTGCACATCGGCCAGTTAGGAAGACCAAATACCCATTTCTGGGCTCTTTGAAAGAAAAAAGCGATAAAATCGAACTACATTCTTATTACTTAAAAAGGTAAACTTGTCCCTGTGCTTCACTAATTAAGCACTGTACCATGAAGGCGTTTGGGGGAGTGGATGTACAGATCCACATTTTCTTGACCTCGGCAATACCTCAAGGTGTGGTGCTTAATAAAGAGCAGGAACAATTTCACCGTAATAATAATTATATTCATATTAATTACAATTTTTTTCTTTGGAAGAATTTATTACTTAAGTCCATCTTTTGTCTACGTTAAATTTTACATAGCTCCAAATGTTTGCAACAGATAGCTTCTGTGCATTCTAATTGTGTGCCGATGGAGGTTCAAATGAGCACTTCCGGAATACAGGTTGAGAGGGTTTCCGCCACAGAAGTCGTTTCGGATATTTAACGACTAAAAAATAAAAAAGAGAAACCTATAATTTTATCTGTTGTTTTTCATGACTGTGAAATGTGATTTCTCAGTCGAAGGATGAAATATGCAGTAGACTGTGGATTCTGGATTCTGGAAACAGGTTCTGAAGAGAATATTTAAAGGGAAGAGTAACAAGAGGCTAGAGAAGTCTATATGTACACTTCATCAAATGCTGCAAGGCGGATGTGTGTAGATAATATAAGTTTGTTATTATTCGTAGTGGAGCGCTACTTATTCCACTTGGTACTGCGGCCTACTGGACTAGATGAAGACTTTGGAGCAACTGGTGGAATGAAGATTGGCAGGGGAAACCGAAGTACTCGGAGAAAACATGCCCCTTGTCACTTTGTCCACCAAAAATCCCACATGACCTGACCTGGGCTCGAACCCGGCCGCCGCCGTGGGAAGCCTGAGCTATGGTGCGGCCTGTGAGATAAGATATACATACAAAAGATTGAAGGAAAATGCCTGTTGAAAGATTCAGAAAGAGATGTGGTGATATTATATGGATCTCGAAATATGGCATAAGAGCGTGGACTGGATTCAACTGGCTCTCGATAAGGACTAGTAGCGAACTTTTCCGAACGCGGTAATGAAACTTCTATTGCAACTACTCATTTTTAAGAACCGTGTGGTCTACAGAGTTTAAAGAAATGAAAATTTCGAACGTTCATACCGAACATTAGTGCAAGTGTTTCCTTTCTTTACTTAAGTCAGTGGCATGCTGCCACTCCGCTAGCGATGGACCCGTTATGCTGCTTCGTCTCTGGTACCCTCTCATTAGTGCCTGTGCAACGACCATCAAAATATGACTTCATTAAATGAAGGAAATTTCCTCCCGTTATTTATCATTCCAAATGTCTGCAAAACAACGGAACATTCAGTTACACGTGTTCAAACGCTTGCAAATCCTGCCTTATTAACATTCTTAGGTGACTCAACCAACAAGGTAAAATACAGAGACTACTTTTAAATCTGCCTCCATTCCGAATTTCGCTACGGGTTACGGATCAGGAAGTTTATCCCGAAATGTAAACACAATGTAACGGGGAGGGGGGAGGAAAATATATCTCGAGTCTCTATTGTCTAATAGATTTATATAACGATTTCTGGGGCAAATTTGGTCCATTTGACTAATAAGGGCAGGGAGTTATATGCACCTAGAACTGACCACTACTTATAAAGTGTTAATTATTTTCACTATTTTACTGTAGCGACATGTTTCGACATTGCGTCGTCGCCAGGCTATCTTTACATTATTTGTGACGTAACTGCCACTGCCATTCTACATCGGCCAATATCTGCAGGTGCATTCTGAAATGTGCTACATTATTGGTAAGAATTATGTCGAACTGTAGGTGTATTCTCACAGCTCGTTGTTAAATTATGCTGAAGTCAGAACTTGCCTGAAATGCAGTCACTGCCCACTTGCCTCTTGCAGAGGAGACATGGGTGGTCCCTTCCGACGGTTTCACTTGTGCCGCGGTCCAAACGCAACTGGTGGTTGAGGAGTGAATTTCCGGATATCATTTCGGATTATAGACCTTATAGACGTTATAGACTTTCACTTACGTAGTTAAATGACGTCAGTGAACGTGTTTCCATATATCTGAAACTCGCTACGAGGTGAGCCCAAAACCGAAAGTGTTCCACTCCAGCACAGTCAGGTGGTCAGGTGGACGCCCACGAAGGAAAGAGACCACTACGAAGACCAGAAAGTAGGCGGTTGGATAATATTAAAATGAATCTTAGAGATGGGATGGGGTGCTATGGACTGGATTGATATTGTTCAGGATAGGGACTAGTGGCGGGATGTTGTGAACACGGTAATGAACTTTCGGGTTCCATAAAAAGGTGGGATGTCCTTGAGTAGCTGCACAATTGGCGGCTTCTCAATAAGGGCTCAGCTCAATGAAGTTAGTCAGTTATGTTAAAGTTCCACATATAAATTATTTCTACATATTACATAAATTAGCACAATCAATGTTGTTACTGGACACATACAAAATAATTAAAATCCCGCGGTTCACCGAGGAGAAGTTTGATCCGTGGTAAACTCGGATATTCTACTCGAAAATCCTTCAGGTACCTTGCACTGGGCATCGAGATTTCAAAATCGTGCACTGAGATTGATGTAATTAGTGCTGTAGAATTTGGTAGTTCAGTTGCCCACCTAAGGGATACAGGAGGATATAACAACACATGACATTGAAAAATCAATACAGAGTACATGTAATTACTCGTATATTGGCGGAGCACCATTTTTCTTAGGGCGTTATTCAAATCCCGAGGAAGGAGGAGGTCGTGGAAATTTTCAGTATTGAGTATACACATCGAGAAAACAACTATGAGAATTTAACTTAAGATAATGGCGTTCATAAGAGAGGAACGAATTCTGCACCAATAAACAAATGTTTAGCAGCTACTGAGCTTGTCTTTCCTTTAATACGCCTTGTACATCATTTCCAGACCGCCTCTGTGGTCTAGGGGTCAGAGTTCAATTCGTGGCGCTACCAGATTTTCTGAGAAGTATTGGGTCTGGGACGGGGTCCACTCAGCCTCGTGAGGATAACTGAGGAGCTATTTCAAGGAAATAGCGGCTCCGGTCTAGAAAACCGAAATTAACGGCCGTGGGGATTCGTTGCGCTGACCACGAGACACCCTCTATCCGCTAAAGTTGGTATTAACTTCGCTGACAAGTGGTGGTCGCTCGGTCGGTATATTTCGCTTGCGGACTACAGGCCACGGAGTTTTCTTTGTACATTAATTCCACATGACGATTTCTTCAGTGAAAATATCTGTCACAGAGCCACAGAAGTTCGGAATGTTTTCTATGCCATGAAGAATTTTTTTCTGTTTGCATTAATGTTAGTATGGTTACCCTCTACCGAGCACGTGGTGAGTAGGTAAGTACAGACTCTTCAAAGCAGAAAATGACTGCTCGATAGACCCACTGGTTGTTGGAATTGCTAATAACTCGGATTCTCAGATTTCAAGGGGTCAAATATTTGAGAAAGTCTAAAATATTACTTTTTAAAAAATCTTCCGAAGAATAATTATGGGAATTCTAGTTTTCAGAAGAACTATTCGAAATACTCCATGATGTCAGTAACGATTCATAAACAGTAGCTGAGAAGTTTTCAGAGTTCTGTTCAAAGTTTCTGAAATCTAGTACTGAAACCAACTTCAGTTTGAGAATTTAGGAGAATCAGTTGGTAAAATGTGCTTCCCCAGTGCCTGTTATTTCATAGTACAGCTGACAACAAAATGATTTTCAGCCATTATTAATAAATGCTATTTTTTGGCTCTGAGCCCAAAGTTCTGTGTTCTCTACCTGGCTGTGAGGAGCTCACACTCTCTGACCAAGCATATTCGAAACTGCTGTACTTCTCTGTTAAAATTTACAATATCAATCACTTTCCTGGAGCAGCAACTCATGTCGTTACTTTTATTCACATAATTTTTAAGATCTTTTGTTTGCATTACTACTTCTGAAAGTACCGTCATATGAAAACTGAAGTCACAATCTTGAAGAATATCCAGATATTCTCGAGCAAAATAACCATTTCTTCGTCCTTTGCTTGCTTCACTTGCTGACATGCTCTGCAGGCCCAAGTTGTATTAACAGTTCTCCTTTGGCTAATATAGGAGCTTCAATAGTTTAAAATTTCATGCGCTCCCTCCAACCCTCAAACCTGCACCATATCCTGTTTCTTCTAATTGCCTCTGACCTCTCAAACAATCACCGAACACTATAGGGATCTGGCCAACACACCTGTGACTGGGCTTGCTAGCTGAAGGTGGCAGAATTTGCATTATCTTATCGCTTCTTCTGGAATACCGATGAACCAGACAAGCAACACTTTTATTTTATTTTTTAAAAGGTTAGCCAGGCTAACATTGTTAAGAGTAATGCTAAGTGACTGCCCAACTATAAGAATAACAACAATTATCATCCGGCTGTTAAATAGTTTTGTTGTTTATTGATCCATCTCAGCATCAGCCATCCGGCAACGTCTTCTTAGTTTCTTGTTACACTTGTGATGTATGAGTATTTTGTCATTAAGCGACTGGATGCCTCAGAAGTCTGTTTCTGACATGTAAAATTTGCAGGCAGACCCCTTCCGTGGCAGCTACGTGAGCAGCAGTCAACACTCATCTAGTTGCAGTGGCTCATCTTCCTGGGTGCTGTGGCGTGACGAACCCAGCTCGCTGTACCGGGATCCACGTGGCCGCCGGGGCCGGCTCTGTAGCGCAGTGCTTGCCGTGGCCGTGTTCCTTGTGGTGCTCATCGTGCTCGCCATTGCGGGACTTGCTGTCTACATGGGCGGTGAGACAAACTCAAACTCAAAATAGACTGACCCTCTCTTTTCTGGACACTGATCCAGATAAAGCTTCATAATTCTTTTTACAGATGACTTTCTCTCTGCAGGAAAGGAAGCCAGTCTACCTATAAATTTGAACAATGCAACTGGAATTGACTGCAGAACACTTTTTGTAAAAGAAAGGTCATGAAATTCCTAGTTTCTTTTCAATTTGCTATTGCTATTTTTATCTTCAAAGTCTGAAACATACAGTATATCTCCAACGGGTTTGTGAAGTAAGCAACAACTGCCAACTTTCAAATACTCAAAATAGGGAGCTCTAGTTTACAAAATCTTTGCTACTTTGCCAGAGTAACATAATAAGAGCATTCATTACCCATGCTTAGAACCAAAGAGTTTGAAATGGGAATCTTACATAAATTTGGGTGTGCAAGCAAAAGATTACATATGCCATGACCAGGGGCTTAAGGAAGGAACTGTAACAGGCAAATTTCAGGTTCAAGTGTTTGTTATGAAATGTCACTACTGCTGTATATATCGTATCAGTGACTTTCTTGTGCGCGTGAGATGCCAGTACTCGTGGGCATCCCCTTTTCAACTTTCAAACCAGTTGCTGAATTTTAAAGAAATTTTGGGTGAACATTACTTCACTGGTGTAGATGCGATCAATTTCCAGGAAGGCACGGAATTTATTTCTAATAACGGATTTACTCTTTCTTGATACAAGATACAATTATTGTGTAGCATCAGAAGAAGCACTTTGCTGGATTCCAGTACATCTCACTGGTGGGTTTGGAGAGTACACTCTTCTGTGTGGTAATGCTGTGTAGGTCGGAGAAAGCCCAACGTTCCAGAGGAATACATCACCCCCACTTTGAGGGTTGAAGAGTATGCCAAGAAGCAGTCTTCTGGGTTGTATCTGAGCCATGTTTATGTTCAGCTGACTTACGAGTTGCCCGTTTCAAGCTAAACTTGAACACCCCATTGCATCCGGGGGTCACTGAGAATACAATGACGGAACCAGGAACAGTTAACAGCTCCTCTTCTCTTTACCCTACACTTTAGGGGACGGTTGCTGCAATTGGCCCTTGGCACTGGCTCCACACTGTGGCCAATTTACCTCTAGTACCAACTGGACAGGAGGTGGGTTGGACCCCAGAGGCATTCTGAACATTTTACCTCTGCTGGGCCCTGAGTCTCTCAGTCATCCACCCAGAGCCTAGTTACTATGCCAACTGAGCTAGCATTCGTTGTATTACAGACAACAAATGAGTGTGGAGCATTGTGTAAGAGATCTTTAAATGTCCAACAGAAATAATAGGTAAAACCACTTTATTAACTGGGAAGCAAGAGAATTGAAAAAAAAAATCACTAGAAAACAACCTGAACAAGGGAGCTGGCATGTGTGAATGGTTTAGGAACTGATTCTTTGGACCCCTTTGAACAAGAATTAGTAAAACACTGGTCTCTCATTGTTCTATATGAAGAATACTCACTTCTGGATTATAATGAAATGCAGTCCAGTGAATTCAACCAGTATTTCAGATGAACACGTTTCTTCCATCTTCAGGGTTGAAAAGTAAACCAACCAAGAAACCAGCATAAAGCAGGCAGCAAGGACAGCTGTGCTTGCTATGTTTCTCCAAATACTGGTTGACTTTCACCAGACTACACAGCCTTCTATCACAGAAGACTGAACTCTGCAGAAGCACCATTATGAGAACTTCAGATCCCACATTCTGCATGCTCAGCCTTGGCAAGGCAGAGAAGACTTATGAGCTCATGCACATGCTACTTCTGGGCATTACTTTCAGTGTCTGCTGAGAACATGGAACAAATAGAGCTGGAGCAAGCCTACATGATGGCCCAGACCAGGCAACCAGAAACTCCATTGTCTCCCTTAGTGAAAAACAGACCAACTTTCATGTATGTAGGTCGTACCGAAAGTCATTAGCAACTTTTTTTTTGCATGCAACCTGGGAACAGCAGACGAACGAGAGTACAGTGGTAGGTGGAACCAGCTGTTGTGTTAACCTTGAGTGTCTTGTGACATCAATAGCTTGCATCACATGACCAGTATCACTCCTAACAAAATGGCCGACAACGATATGCCGTTTCGCCAGCATGCTGTCATCGAATTTCTTGTGAAAGAGGAAATCCCTGCTGCAGAAATTCACCAGAGACTTCAGCGTGCTTATGGAAGTGTGGGCATGGGTGCGAGCAGTGTTCAAAGATGGGTGAAACATTTTAAAGATGGGAACTCCAGCGTCGAAACTGAGCCCCGGAGCGGTCGTCCTCGAACAGCCTAAATTGAACGCAACAAGGAAAGAGTGAATGAGATCATTCAAGATGACAGGTGTGTGATTGTGGACACAATAGCCCGAAAACTTGGAATAGGGCACAGTGCAGTACAGGAGATGATTGAAAGCTTGGCCTATAGGAAAGTTTGTGCTCGTTGGGTCCCGCGGTTATTGACTGAAGACCACAAAGGTCAGCGAAAAGCCATCATCTCAGAACTGCTGCAGAGATATTGACATGAAGGTGATGATTTTTTGCACTGTATTGTGACAAGTGATGAAAGCTGGTTTCACCATTTCGAGCCTGAAATGAAATGGCAGAGTATGGAATGGCACCATTTTCATTCTCCATCAAAAAAGAAGGCAAGGACAGAGCCATCAGCTGCGAAGGTGATGGGCACAGTCTTCTGGGATGCAGAGGGGTTTATTCTGGCCGAATTCCTGGAACCTGGGCAAACCATCAATGCTACTCGTTATGTCCACATGCTGCACAAGCTCTGTCGTGCATTGCGCGATAAACGTCTGGGATGAAACATCATCATCCTGCATGACAACGCTCACCCCCACGCCGCTTGCCTCACATTGGAAGCAATTGCAAAGATGGGGTGGGAAGTTCCCCACACCCCTCCTATAGCTCTGATCTGGCATCCTCCGTCTGCCATCTATTTGGATTTGTGAAGGATGAGCTGCATGGACAACGCTTTGAGACAAGGGAGGCAATTCAGAAAGCAGTGCATCAGTGTCTTCAGATGGCTGGAATGGAATTTTATAGAAGGGAAATTTTCCAACTCCCAGAATGCTGGGTAGAAATGTGTACAAAGAAGTGGTGATTATGTGGAAAAATAAAGAAAGGTATATAGATTGAGGTGGTGTATTTGGATTGTCAATAATAAAGCATGTTACTTTATAAAAAATTGTTGCTCATGACTTTCAGTACGACCCTCGTAATTCTTAAAACACTTTTACTTACATTGCTCCATAACACATGTTTAGATTATCATAATACAAACAAAGGATCAACAGAAATTAATTTTCATTTAGCCAAAAGAAAAAGAAGGAAAGGTTTTGTAAAATATGCTGCCCCATGTGTCTGCTTAGTGCTGCCAACCTTGCAAACAAGAGAACACATAACAGAACTTGATGGTTCAACACCCTTTAATGCCAAAACCTACTACTTGACACAACCCTAGGAGAGAGTCATCTATCTGCAATTCTCACACCATTCTTTAAAAGTATTTTCCCATGTTCTTCTTGGTCTTACAAACTACTTTCCTAAAGGTTATCCTTTCCAAAATTCTGTATATACTTCTTATTTCCCCCCTAAGCCGCATGTCTAGCAAACTTCACCCAACTACACAGTTTATCTTGGGTATAATCATTTTCCTACACACATTGTGAAATATGTTCTTCCATCAGTGTCAAACACTACACACTGAAGTCTTCTCAAGAAATCAAGCATGTTAGTTGTGGAGTTAAGTGTGTGAAATTTAGAGACTGTTTCTGTCACCATTATCAGGGGTTGGTACATACAGATTAAGCCGTTAGCTACCACAAACCAAAGGATACAGTGAGCACAGCCAGTCAGTCAGTGAGGATACATGGAGAACAGAGCATGGATATGATACTCATCACATCAAACCCTGATGAAATATCCTCTGAAGTAAACTCCATTTATTTTGTTTAAAAATAATTTAGGAATTAAAGCATCAAGAACTATTTTTCAGAAAACTGAAGAATAATTAATATGGGTATCATAAAAGTTAACACACCAAAGAGCCAAAGGTTCAAAATTTGATTCATATGAACCATTCTGATTTTTCTGTGTGCTTTTTGTATTTATCACAAAATACTAACAACAAAGCAGTCAATGAAGAATGTTGTTTGCTACATTTCCTTTTAGTGGAAGACCTTTTATAGTGTGATAAATTATACTTGTAGACTGTGTAGATCTGTGTGCTGCCAAGAAAAGAGCAACGGCTATATGTTACTATTACAGGCATATCCAGAACAAAAGGCCGCGCCATAGCTCAAGTGGTTAGTTGCTGGCTTCCCACCGCGGTGGCTCGGGTTCGAGCCCGGGTCTGGTCAAGTGGGATTTGTGGTGGACAAAGTGGCACTGGGGCAGGTTTTCTCAGAGTACTTCGATTTCCCCTGCCAATTTTCATTCCACCAAATTCTCCATTATCATAATCATCATAATCAGCTGGGGCAGGTACAATAGGCCAATCAGTGGCTGCCATGCTGAGTCAACCCAGCTGGACTCCACCCTCCACTATGGGAATTAAAAAGAAATATCCAGAACAATAATGAAGCAAGCTCATATGATTATTTAAAATATCAGAATGAAATATGGAGGTAAATGTGAACTGTCACAATCACTACTTTGCTTCATTCTTTTCAGCTCTCCGGATCGACACAAACAAACGTAAGTAGACAACCAACTCACACGTATTATACTTCCTAGTGCAGGTCATAAGCTAATTTGTGAACGAAAACTTTAGATTTTGTGTAATAAAGCACAAAATTTGAAAACAAAAAAGTTGTGCAAAACTTCTCATTAATGATCTACATCCATGAAATTAATTTAAAATATAAGAACTTAGTCGCTAAAATACAGTTTTTTTTTGGGGGGGGGGCTTGTAGAGCCCAGACACTGCTTAGTGCTTCTCAGACTGGCTCGTATGCAGTGTTGGCATGACGAATTTCACAGTACTTGTATTCATATGAGTAGTTAGATCTCTTTAATTTCGAATTACATGCCTGCAATATGGAATTAGTCAAAATTCCAGCTTCTACAGAAGTGTAATTGACTGTGATTTGATTCTAGATGGTGGGGTGTGCTTTAAAAAATTTGTAACCAACATCTATTCTTTATTATGTAAATTCATAATTAGTTACTTTAAGACAATAACATGTCTCTTTATTATTAAATACGGCATATATAACCAAACTTTTCTGGAAAGAACATTTATTGATTCCGGTCATTTCAGTGGAGTATGTACCTATGACTTCCTGCACTTATGTTTAAGTAGAGGTCAAAAAATGGGGAACTTTTAATAGACATATCTGTACTGAGCTGACCTTTCATTATCACTGGCAAAAACTATTATTACCAACAATGAAACATCCTAATGAATGATACTATGTGATTCTGAGCATATAATTTCCACTGTGGGAGAGGTAACTATTTGCAAACAAATCTGCCACAACAGAGCATCAGCACAGTCTATCATCAAAGCCTTAGTATCAAGAACTAACTTCTCTGGACTGTCTTGTTTGCAGTGGAACTTGTATTCGACGGAAGCGTGTGTGTTACTTCTGGTGATCACTTTATATCATCCCTTGGCAACAATTCCAGCATTGCATTTAAGGAAATGGCGCTCAAGTATCAAAATATGGTGAGTCCACATATAATTATTTCTTATCATGAAAAAGTCTCCTAATATGGAAAACAGTGTCAAGGCTGGTTGATTAATTGGAATTTAATATGTAAATGTTTTCTTTAATCATAGAAAACAGTTCCATGGTCTTCAGGATGAACTAACATTCGATTTACAAATAAGATTCTAAGTTTCACTTAAGACTTTTGTTTGTATACGTCTGCATTCACAATATTTGCATTTATTTTCAAATATATAAATGTTTCCTGTTTTAATTCACTAAAGAAAATTCTGGGGAAGATAAATAATTATGAATATCATATATAATTTAGGTGACCAAAGAACATTAAAAATTAAAAATTACTAGATGCCAGACTTCTATACAAGCTAATAATCTGCAGCTTAGGCATTACAATATGAAGGGCCTCTGAAACCCAAAAGATAATAAATGCCTGATTGCATGTTGGCAGATTTGAATGAACAGCAACAGCTGCAACAATAAAAAGCAAGTTGGAGGGCAGCACTGCTTCTTGCATTGCAGCTGTGCAACTGCTGAGAAGCAAAGCATTTTACTCTCATCTTTTTTAAAAAAGTATAGGGTCTGTACTCTGTCATAGCTTAGGATCTCATGAAGTCATAATTCAGCCCTGCCAGTCACTGTTATGTTTTTCTTATAAAACTCCTAATGTACACTAAGCTCAATGTGCTTGATGTATTTCAGATTGGCAGTGTGTACCAAAGAAGCCAGCTTCGACATGCATACAAGAAATGTGTGATAGAGAAATTTGAAAATGGGAGCCTAATTGTTTTCTTCAGGTTGTACCTAGACCGCAGAAAGATTCCAAGGTAAGCTGTTATGTATGATGTGCTGAAATACAGAACAAAATCTGAAATCAGTTCCATAGAATAAGTGATGATAACAGCATATGGCAGTTGTCCCAAAGCCAAGGAAATATATTCTAACCAAAGAGAAGTACGAGAACACACATACACAGGGTGGACCAGAGAAAACACATGTTTTTCACATAAAAATAACTTTGTTGATTTTCAAGATATAACCTTTTTAATTACACAAAAAATAAGGCATTTTTAACTTACATTACGTATGGCAATAATGTCAGTCAGATGATGTCCTTCTTGCTGGACACACATTTGGAGCCTCTCCTCAAAATTCTGCATTGCATTCTCCAACATGTCTCCCAGCACAGCTGCGATTTCTTGACAAATGGAGAGTTTCAGCTTTTGGATCATTCGTGGTCTGTTCATGTACACTCTTGCCTTGAGGTATCCCGACAAAAAGAAGTCACAGACCGATAGATCAGAGGAGTGCGGTGGCCAAGAAACATCACCAAAAAGGGAGATCACATGTTGGGGGAACATGCGTTGAACAACTTCCATTGATGCTCTCGCTGTGTGAGCTGTGGCACCATCCTGTTGGAACCACATTTGTCTCATGTTTACCCAATGCCTTGGGATTTCTGGATGCAGGAAGTTGTTTAACATGTCAACACAGCAGTCTGCTCTCTTCAAAGAAGTAAGGACCAATGATCTCCTGATATATTGGTTTGTGAGAATGTGATGTAGAATTTTGAGGAGAGGCTCCAAATGTGTCCAGCAAGAAGGACATCATTTGACTGACATTATTTTCTGTATGTAATGTAAGTTAAAAATGCATTAAAATATCTTATATTCTGTGTAATTAAAAAGGTTTTATCTTGAAACTCAACCAAGCTATTCCTATGTGAGAAACATGCATTTCCCCTGTTCCATCTTGTATGCGCATACTGCATGCAGCTCATTTTCATTTACATGTACGTGTACACACAACATTTTTGAAAGATTATGATTCAATTGAGTTATATTGTATGTAGGAATTTCCAGAATGTAGAGGAGACAGCACGGGACATCCTAGTGAATGAGTTGATTGCCCCACGAACTGTGGCCTTCAGGAACATCCATATTGATGCAAGCAGCATATTTATAAAACGTAAGTTCATTAAGTTCTTTGCCTGATAGCTCAGTTAGTGAGTGAACAGCTACGGATGGCAAAATCAAGGTGCAGTTTCTATTAGTAACATGGAGTATGGAGTATGGAGTATGGAGTATTATCTCTGCCACACCAACCAGAATAGCAGCGGAGAACATACCAGCTTCCTAACTGAGGAGTAAAAAGGCTCTTCCCTGGGTGATGGCAGCAATAAAGCAGCTGAAGTGTACAGCTAACCATAACTTCCATCTAGAGCTTAGGTTTAAAATGTGTGGAACTTTCCCTCCATGCCACCTGCATATTGTCACATGATGGGGTGACTATAGACAGGGTTTGGATTGGTAATCGGAATTACTTGATTCTTACAGAACGTAACTATGACGCACAAATAACCAGGATGGTGTCACTGAATTACACCAAAGATAAACATAACTACAGCACACATAGTCTTTTTAGCCTTCCTTAGCCATTGCTTGGTAAAGGTTTCCAAGGGCGGACGTTCCCTTTACTCTTGGTTCCCGAACTGTTCTCGGCATCAGCTACAGCAACTCTCAACTGACTGACTGACTGACTAACTCACTCTAGGCCTGTCCCACTTGCATCATATCAGTATGGCATGCACAGAAAACGCCTTTCCTCTGTTGCTGTGCCACTGTTGTGTGCACAGCCATTGGTATGGGCCATGCATAAAACACCATTCCTCTGTTGCTGTTTATAGGCCATTACTAAGCAACGGCTGTTGTACATTTACTTATCTCTCAGTCATCACCTAGCAACAGGTCTACATACCACAATATCTTAGTAAGGTGATATTTTGGCACAGTGGCAACTTTTCAATAGCTTTTAAGTCGTTATTCTGCACAAAAATGCACATACTGTTTCCGAACTTAGGGACCAATTACCATGACTCAGTTGTCCCCATACCTTCCAAAACACAATTCATACTCATCCTGAAAACAACTGCTTAATGTCACACAATGAGCATGCTGCAGCATTATTAAGTAAACAAAAAAATTAATTTAAATATGTGCCATATTTCATACCATCTAACCAAGAGGAGGTTGACTCATAACATAAATTTAATATGAACATCAAATCAGCTTATCACCATTTTAATTCTTTGAGATACAAGAGACCATGATCATATGGGAAAGGGGGGAGAAAGGAATTCAGTCTTTATTTTGTTTTTCAAAGGTGTATTCATGTAGCAACATGAACCAACATGAGCCAGTTCAACGCATCACAACATCCTGTGGTACCATACACATTTCTGTCTCTCAGGTGCTGTTATACCTGTCATTTTTTAAATGAAATCTGGCCTGAAACAAATGTCTTTTGTGCAGGGTCCCTGGATGATGCAGTCATAAGCCCTGTAGAGGGGATTCCCAGAAAGAAGCCTCCAGGAAACAGAACTCTACAGATACACAATGGTGTGATGAGAAAGGCAACGACAGAAGACACCTCAACCATGAACAAAACACAAAAATCTCCAACAGTTACAAAACAAGAAAACAGTGAAATTAGAAAGCCTGATACTGAAGATTTAAGAAATACAACTCAGGAGACAGGAGGAGAAGCGATTCCCATTGTTGAAGGATCTGTATCCATTACAAAAATTAAAGGAACAACAATGGAGAAACCATCTGAAAAACCAAGCACATTAAAAGAAGGAAGTAATGTACCAAGTTCAAATAGAGAAAAAACTAATGCTGACAGTAAAAGGGAAAATGACACACTGAGTAAACCACCTGGGAATTCCGTTCCAGAAAACATACAGAATGAAGCAGACAGAGATATAAAAAAAAATTCTAAACTTCTACTGACACCTACTGTTAGGATAGGATCTACTTCAGAAATCAATCTTCCAGAGGAAAAAGTGCATATGAATCCAGACACTGGTGCTAAAATGCCAGCTGACTCTACAGAAGACACTAAATATTCAACGGAGAATGATGAGAAAGATCCAATCAGGCCCAAAACTCAATCCCCTTACATGCCCAATAAAAAGCAACCAATAAAAAACGATGAACATGTACACTTGGGACAGGAGATAATCACAAAATTTTCTGCAGTAGATGGGATTAAAAAAGATATTACACATACAAAACAAGACAATCAGGAACACAATTTTGAAAGCCTTGATGGAGTTGTGAATGATTTAGATGGGAAAGTTTCACAAAATGTAAATGGTTCACTGATAAAGAAGATTGGAGAAAATTATGTTTTATCAATTGGAAGTGCTGAAGATTTCACTACAAGTCCTCTCACTAACAATGACCGTTATCACACTCAGCCAACGCCTGGCCTGAATTCTAACTTCTGGAACACTGGCTCAAGAAGCTCCGCAATCCCCGGTACTGGACCTGTAGGCCTAAATACCCCAGGGACCAGGTCTAATTACACGGGCACAGAATTAACAAATGAAAACTTTAAGGGATCATTCATCCACACTGTAAAGCCCCCACATATCCAAACTGATGAGCCATGGAGACCAATTCTGCCACATTACACAAAACAGTCTCCAGAACCAGATGATGACGACACAGGAACTGGTGTTGCTGAAGTAGTGGTTGTCCCTCCATCTGCGTTAGAGAAGCAAAAGACAAATGGGAACCAGAACAATGATAACAAATACAGTTCGCGGTTGGGACAACCTGCGTCTAACCAGAAGATGCAGGAGACCTTCTCAGGTATGTAGCAAGGGACAGATTTTATTAGCTGCTTAGATGGCAAGTACACAAATTAATAAGTGTATATCAATGTATAGATTTCGGACAAATTCAACTGTCACTGTAAAATAAATAAAAGGTAATTGGAAGGTTACAATGATTCTGATCTGCCATCATCAGACTTTCATGTTTTAAATGTGGAGAGGAAACTTTATATATTTTTTTTGTAGACATATGATACATACATACATAGATATATAAAAATGGTATAAATATAACATATGCGTAATTGGTGAAGTACAAACATTGGGACAGGTGCGGGGATTCTTATACTTCTGGAAGGCGTTTTGGAGATGACTGTGTAACTTTGGGTTGTATACCATTGTATGAAGAATTAAGCTGTGTCAGCTGTGTTGCCTTGTAGTATTGATATTTTTGCAGTGGTGCTGTTTTCCTGCAGTCCCTTGCCAAGTACTGCCACAAGAACATCAACACTACAAGAAAACATGACTGACACAGTTTAATTCTCTGTACAATGTTATAAAAACAAAACCTATACTCTTATCTCTGAATTGTTTCCAAGGAATTATTTCATAAAAGTAACTGCACCTCTCAATATTTATACTTTTAACAATTTCCCATATACCATATTTATTACCATCTTTTATATGTATGTATCATTAATGTCTGCAACAACGGACTAAAAATCTTCCTCTCCTCATTTGAAAAAACAGGTCTGATATAGTGAATCAAAACTGCTGACACATGTAAACTTTTCCGAAAGATTCTGACGATGGTATATTAATACAAATATTGTGTTTCTAGACATTATCCATCCTCCTGATTTTACTTATTACACAGCATTTTCGAGACTATGTTCTGCCTCCATCTTCAGGTGGAACATCGATAAGAGTTAGTCCCTATCCATTGGGCCCAACTGAGCAGGTTCCACCTGAAGGAGACAGAATCTAGTCTCCAAAAACGTTTTTAAATAAAAACCGGACAATGGACAATGTCCAGAAACATAATATTTGTAAGTAAACTTTTAGTTATCATATAATAACAGTTGCATTTCATTGAAATCTATACTTTTATACACAATAATATGGGAATGCAATAATTCACTCTTAAATACACACTGGTAACTTTACCAGATGTCATGTATGATTTGGTTCTTGGTTTCTGGGATGACTATAACAGAAGTGATTGAAAACTAAGTGCTCTGGAAAGTATTTGGATTTAAGATCAATAAAAAGTGGTAAACAGAGAATACAAAACAAAATTTCATAACTCATGCAGTTCACCTGGTACTGCTGGCAACAAGTCAAGGAGGTAGCTTGAATGAAGGGAGACAAGAACTGCATACAAGTTTTGGAAGTGCAAACCCTCTTTATGTGTGGCTGTTACTAAACAGAGGAGAGATGAAAGAACAATTTTAGGATGCAGCTTAAGAAAATCTGTGAAGTTCTGAACTGGATTGAACAGGCTAAACTTTGTGTCCACCAAAGGCTATTACTGCAGGTAATTCAAATTGATGTGTAACATACACCTTTTGTATTGTGGTCTTCTGGGTTATTACACCAGGTTGTAGTTTGATTGGTGACTACCAAAGTTTTGGAGGAGCACAGAGTCTCCACCTTTCGGTTGCATTGAAGACAGAAGCAGTATGGTTCATCAAAAATACTGATACCCACCTGCCACACTATGACACGATATCACAACCTAGAATACCCCAATATGAATCTTCATCACTGTTAAAACCTCAAATCTTACATATTTAAACCAAACTTCTTTGGTTTAAACTTTTTATTACTGTCTTTACCTCCAACATAATTCCCGAAAATTTGTAGTTCATATTGTTACGTAATTTACAAGACTTCATATCATAACAGTACAAAGAATTAGGAAAATTGTTTTATATATCTTAATCATCTTAATCATTTGAAAAATAGATGGGATGAAAAATTTTGAACTGCATGTTGTTATTTGACCTTTTTGATTTCTGTTTAGCTGGAACAGGTGAAGGAATCCATTTCTGAAATACATGTACCCATAAGAGCAGACCCTGCTTACTTTCAGTGACAGTGACACACAGAGATTAATATGGGATTCAAAAACCACAGTGAGGGCGCAGGTCCTCTGCATTCCACATTCTCAAAATTTAAGCTACAGCTCTGTGGGTCTAAAATCAAACTACCTGGAAATAACTTTACTTTCTCTCTACAGGAGGCTATGGCAGTTTCAGTTTGCTCTCGGATGTCCAAGAATCGCAGCTTAGTGATACCATATCCAGAGTGTCCTTGCATGTTGTTGGTACTGGTACCGGTGGATTTAGTGGGGAGAACCTAGAAACCAGTATCCTTCATACCACCAGTGGAGGTGGAATCATCATTCGAAAACAGCATCAACCAGCAACATTTCTATCCCCACACACAATCCCTCTCACTTACACCACACCTGAACCTCCCTCAGCACGTCAATCTATAGATAATCCTTTCATAGTCCCAGAACTACCAATCTTACACCAGTTTCATGACGTGGATGCTTTACTTAAGGCATCTCCTTCAAAGAATGCACATTCCAACATAACACTGATACATCATAAAAGTGAAAGCTTTGAAGGGGACTCTGCAGTCAACAACAAGTGGATGAGTAACAGCAGTAGTGATGGCAACACTGATCCAAGAAACCCTAATGCAGGCACTGGTTCTAGCTCATCTGCAAGTCAACAATGGGCTGAACTGCATGATGTAACTACACCAATTGCTAAGCCCCAAGACTCCTTACACATGGAAGCATTTCCTACAAGATATCACCAGCAACCAGCATGGGGTGATATGGGAAATAAGGCAAGACTTGGAAACACTAACGTACCATTCAAAGACATAGGCATTCCATCAACTGTAATGTCAATAGAGGCATCTTTACCAAATGTACAACTGAATAAATCTACAAGGGTACAATTTGCAACACTTAACCCTCTGTCGGATTCTGTAGAAAATACGCCAATCTCCATAGTGACACTGATACCAGTCAGATCTAATTCTGGGGTTGGTAGACCCCTACGACCAAGGCCTAAGATACCATCTCATACATATCTTCAAATTAAAAATCAGAATGAGCCTATAAATGTAGTTCCAAGTTCTGAATATAATTCAAGGACAAAAGCAGAAGATAATGGACCTTCTTCTCCAGCACCAATGGGATCAGATGCAGTAAGTGGTGTACAAGCGGAGACATTACATAACAAGCAGAACAATTCAGCAGGATTCACTACAAAATCTGATGAAGCTATGATAAGCTTCAACCATTCATCAAACGAGGCACCCAAACAGGAAGTGCAAAGCACGACGCTGGATTATAAGTCACAAAGCAGTGACATTAATTACTCTACAGAGTTGACATTAAATTTAAGAAAAACTTATTCATTACCACAAGAGACATCAACACTGTCACCATTCTCAACAGGAACACTGTTAGAAATATCATCAGCAATGGGTACAGTACCAGCATCAATTAAGGTAACACATACACAATCACCAATAAAAGCAGTTCCAATGCTGTCAACAGCCAGACAAGCAACAGTTTCATCCACAGATCAGTCAATATCAGAAAATTTGACAATATCTACACAACAATCAACAACATCACCATCAAAGGAAGAAATAACTTTAGGAACATCAGGTACTACATCACCAACAACAACTAATTCACCATCAATGAAAACAGTGCTACTGTCAACAGCGCCAACAACCAAAGTGATGAAACCACTGCCACCATCATCATCATCATCATTACCAGCAACAAAATCTATACAAACAACTACAGAAGCAACACTGTCTCCAATAATATCATCATTAACACCAAAATTCAAGCTGAATGATTCCTCTTCAGTAAACTCAGCTTCAAATATAAATCACCTGAATCAGACCAACAAAGCTGCCACAGATAAAATGAAAAATGCAACCCACATGTTAGAAAGTATGGTAAGAATTTCACCAGTTTCAGCTTTGAAGCAAAAACCTTCTACAGTAGAAGTACTGACAAACACAACAGAAATCACTAGATCAAATAATACAAACATAAAAGAAACGAAAATGAACAACATTGCCCCAGTGTCCTCCCTGGATCAAAAAACACTCACCACCAGCACCCCTTCACATTTCACACAGATAAGTACTGTAACCCTCTCCGAGCATTCATATCCAAGTATGCATCTGTCACCTCAGCCAACCATAACTCATACAACTCCCAGCATGTTCATCCCTGTTATTGTCATCCAAGACCCACCACATGAATACTGGCATAATAATTCATACAAGCAAACAGGAAAAGTGGTCAGCACTGTTCCAATGCTGGAAGTACCCCCAAATTCAAGAAATGTCCATAATGGTACTGGAGGCCACAGAGAAGATATCACCAGAAACACAAGTGCTATAACACATGCTCCAAAAATCCAAGAGAAGCCATCACTTAGGACTTCAGAACTAAGAGACAACAAAAATTTGACAGGAAATAAACAAGGCCAGAATATATCTGTAACTCCAAAGCCTAAGAGTGATAATTACAGTTCAAATGGGAAGCCTGAAAGTTTCACAGAAAACAAAAATATAGCTCCCCAATCACATACAGTGACACAACAAGAAGTAATTTTTAACACTGACACTGTTACCACAACAAGCACTGAGGCTTCATTTGGAGAAAATACAGGAAAAGTGAGCACAGATCCTCTGAGGACATCTCAATCACCAAACAGAACCAAGTATGGTGACAACAATCACACCAGCACTGTGGATCTGCCTGTCACATTGCCATCTGCTATCATGGAAAAGGCTTCTACTCACAAAGTCAAGGAAACAAGACGAAAACCAAAAATGAAACCAATATTTACAGACCCACCTTTGTTTGAAAACTCAAGAGAGGAACACATGATGGGCAGTGCTGGTAATTCAAAAATAGAAGACAGGACAGATATTGATTTCCTCATGCCAAAAGTAGCTGATGTTATAGACACTACTACTTCTCTGAATGCCTTCAGCAGTGAAGAGAATGAAACAAAAAATACTGCCGTTACAGTTACAGTGTATGAATCAGAAAACTATACTTACAGAATACACTCTGATGTTCCCAGAACAGTAGTCATAAAGTTGAATTCAATGACAGAGGGTCCAGTAACACAAAACTACGGGTCTGATCAAGTTTCATCCACAGAGGAGGAAATTTCTTTAGGTCACTCAAATGTAACAACACATTTGACCAAAGAACGACCTCCACAAGAGGAAGAATTGCCATTTAATTCCACGGCATATACTGTTGGACAAGATCCAGTATTGCAAACAACTAATGAGGAAATTATTCTAACAACAGATGAAATTTTGCCAGCATTTTCCAGTGTATCTGTGCCAAAGGATGAAGTACTTTCAACAAAAGAGCTCCTAACGAACACTAGCGATGACGCACTGGAAATATTCACAAATTTCACGGTCACCAAGATAAAGGCTTCAAGCAGCATTCAAGATAAGCGACAACCAGAAAATTCCGAAATGTCTGCTGCTGATATTATGCATTTGATGAATGCAACTAGAAACCACAGTATTATGTCTCAAGAAGCAGTGAACACTCTCAGCAAGTATGCTCACGTACATGCAGCAATATCATCAAATAATGTTTCAAAGGACAGTCAAAATAAAGGCTCTAATGATGATGACAAAATAATCAATGATTCAACTGAAAATTATGCAGGCGAGAAAATAACAAATTTTATAGACACAGAAGAAGCAAAACTATCAACCAAAGCAATTTTTCTGCATGCAAGTAACAATCATGCAGGGATACCACTTCTAACCAAAATATATAACAAAGCACCCCAACAGTTAGGCGAAAAAGAAACAAGCATTGAAGAAGGAGCTCCTGATCTTGCTAATGCAACAGGTAAGTATATCCTGTGACATGCCTCCCTTTCTCATGTTGGTGATGGTTAAGGAGAGATTCTAAGCATAATCATCAGTCATTATGTCCATCATCTTCCTCTACTTCGCTTTCGTCTAGCATTATCTGTATTTCCTACACGTCAATGGATGAAAATTCGCCAATCTGTTCTTCCTCCCACAGCTTTTCTCTTTTTATTTTTTGCCAGTAGCATACACAAGGGAAGGAAGAAATGCATATATAATTTTGGTTTGAAACACTAAGAGGGGGGGGAAGTGGCAGGGACATGAAGCTGACCACTCACCTCCACCTAGTGCCGAGGTCAAGAAAATGTGGATCTATACATCGTGCTTAATTAGTTAAGCACAGGGACAACTTATCTTTCTTTACCTTACACTAAGGGATAAAGCCACTAAGGTAAATGAGGTACAGATGAGAAAATAACATTAGAGTTGATCTTAGGGGAGCAGTTTGTGAAGATAAGGACTAGGTTAAATATATTGCATCTTAAGGTTCTATATGAACAGAGAATTTATTGAGTATCTGAATAACTACATATTGCTTAAGGTATATGTAACAATCCTGAACAGACACATAATATTTTGATGGGGTTTTAGCTTGTCCCAGCAACCTGAGTCTTCGCTGTGGGGATGGAGACTGCATCTCATCACTGTCTCGTTGCAATCAGCTTGTTGACTGTAGTGATGGGATAGATGAGCAAGCCTGTTCATGTGCAGATTATCTAAAGGCACAGTTCCTCACACGCAAACTGTGCGATGGTGTTGTCGACTGCTGGGATTTCAGTGATGAGAATAATTGTGGTAAGCTGTGTGCCATTTTAGAAGGGCTGAAAATAATATACAAATGACCAATGAGTAAGACTTTGCTTCAGATGGCAAAATTAAACATACATGTCTGCCTGTCATTCTATCTACATTTTCATCTTCCAAAGCTAAATTCAATAAATTTGATTTTCATCATGTTAATTTTATTTTTATATACAGTATATAAATCCACTGTCATATGAAAACCAAAATCAGGAATTTCAAAATTCACTTGTTAATTTAACATAACGATCGATCTGTGTATAACAGAGCATAATATCCTGGCCACCTTTGATTAAAACTGGTAAAGTGGACTTACACAAAACTGTGTTCAGCCATTTTGATTTTGAATAAGTTTGCATTATATTAAGTACAACTATCAAGCAAACTAAATCAATGTATATGTTTATATTAGAAGTGTTTTTATTTTATTTCATTTTGACAGAAATTGACAGATAGTACTTACATTAAATGAATATTAACATAGGTAAGTTCAATTTCCTCAGTTTGTTTTAAGCCCCATATTAATGAAGAACCTAAAATACATATTAGAAATATATTACTAAATATTAACCTCTGAGAAAATTCTCCCGAGTAAAAGTTATAGATATTCATAAAATACGTATATTGTCTTTCACACAATGGCTGATCAAATCTCAATATATTTGAGAAAATCGCCAATATGAAAGAATCACCTATCAAGTGTGTACCACTGAAAGTGTTTTATTACCTTTTGCCACTGTCCTGTCTTGTACCTCCGGTCTACTCAATTTGCAATGCGCTGCATACAGCTACACACCAGACATCAGGCAGCCATCAGCAGTACATGATACATGACTTTTATTGCCAACAGAAAGTTCATTCACCCCTTACTCCTGTCCAAAACAGTGTACATTTAATAAAATATAAGGGAGCAATTAACGCCTTCATGCAGTGTATCTGTAATGTTAATCAGCTTTGTCAGCAACAGATTTGATATATTTCTGTATAGTGCAGTATTTATAATAGTGATTTACTGTCTTGCCTGGCTACAGATCCAGAGGTCCGGGGTCAATTCCCGGTGCTATCAGATTTTCTGGTAGTGGGTCTGGAACGGGGTCCACTCAGCCTCGTGAGGATAACTGAGGAGCTATTTCAAGGCGAAAGCGGCCCCGGTCTAGAAAACCGAAATTAATGGCCATGGGGATTTGTTGCGCTGACTACACGACGCCCTCTATCAGCTAAAGTTGGCACTAACTTCGCCGATAAGCGGCGGTCACTTGGTCAGTACAGTTCGCTTGTGGACTAGAACCACTGAGTTTTTTTATTTACTGTCAAGTCTGTAATAAATGAACATCAAGACCAAGAGGAGCGACAGAATAGCAAAGCTTGCATTCATAAACTATTACTTAACTGATATCTACATTAAGATAGCAGTTTAGGATCCCTAATAATAAAAATAATTTAAAAAATGCATAGGTCAACTACAGCCAGACTCTTGGTCTGTCACAGTTCAAGAGCCCTACTACTGATGGGCACTCCATACACTTTGGAAACATAACTTACCATTAACTCCACATCGATATTCAAGTAATTTAAAACACTTGATGTGTACCAGTTTAAAGGGATGTAAAATTCAACAATAAATAAATACAAGGGTAAGTAAATGAGTAAGTTAAAAAAGGATACAGAACTTAAACAAATAAGAGTACTGATCTGAAAAATGCTTTTATTTCTCAACATAATCTCCCTGTACACTGAGGCACTTGTCCCATTCTTTCACAAGACCCTGAAAACCTGCAGCATAAAATTCTTTGGGCTGCTGTTGGAACCAGGTGGGGACTTCCTTTTCTACAGCTTCATCATCGGGAAAATGTTCAGCCAAAAGATGATGGCCGAACAAATGGAAGTCGGTTGGAGCAAGGTCGGGGCTATACAATGCTCGAGGACATCCCATTTGAAATTTCACAGCATCTCATTTGTCTCGTTGGCAATATGAGGATGGGCATTGTGATGCAAGAGCAACACGCCTTTGGTGAGGAGTCCTGGTCGCTTCTGTTGAATGGCCTTACGAAGTTTCCTGAGGATGTTACAGTAGGAGTAGGCATTTACGGTTTGTCCTTGAGGCTGGAACACGGTGAGCAGTATGCCTTCGTGATACCAGTCACCGCCTGATTCTGACATCAGCCCAAAGAATTTTATGCTGCTGGTTTTCAGGGGCTTGTGAAACAATGGGACAAGTGCCTCAATGTACAGGGAGAGAAATAAAAGCATTTTTCAAATCAGTACTCTTATTTGTTTAAGTTCTATATCCATTTGTAACTTACTTATTGACCTACCTACGTAAATAAATAAACCTCACTTCATGAATTGTACAAAAGTTATCTGACCATTTTCTTCATAAGACATGATAAAAGAATAACTGTCATTCTGTGCAGAATGGTGCTCCCCAGGACAATTTGTGTGCCCCAACTCCCAGGTGTGTGTGGACCAACACCAACTTTGTGATGGGGCACGAGACTGTCCCTATGGGGATGATGAAAAGCAATGTGTCACTGTTGCACAGAATGAGTCAACTGCAGGTGGCTTCCCATACAACTCAGAAGGTAAATGCATAATCTTTTAAAATGGGAGGGTGATTTAGCTATAAAATCTGGAAGAAACGTGAGGCATGTACAGAGTCTTTCTTGACAGGACAAATGAGGTGTGCCCAGCCATGAGAAAAACATGCAAGAAATAACTGAACATGTTTTATGTGATATATGGATGACTTGAGGAGAGACTGATGGGTGCTTTATTATGCAAGGTCAATCTTACTGTTTATCTTGTATGACTGCCACTGAACCTGCAAATGACTCACTAAAATATGAATGAGTTCTCTTTGTGTTTCTGTTCCTGTAAGATCATTTGAATGTCTGTTATAATAAAGAATTCAGGTGGTGAATATACACTAGAACAGTGGGTTTTTCTGTACAATACTTACATGAAAAATAAATCATATAAATCGTGAAAAAGAATGTTTCTCCATAAGAAGCCTTGCCCAAGTTCCAGCTCTGTCAGTGTTTTTTAATGGGTGATGGAAATGCATTAAACTGGGTCTTCCTTAGACAAGAAACACTTGAGACAGAATGCTGTGCTGACTGAGGAAAAGCCTGATGAAACTGGAGTCAGATTAGAACACTGACCTTGCAAATCCCTGATATGACTAGGTCAACAGGCACAGGTTTGGATGACAACAGCGTGAAGAACGCTTTTACTTGTATGATGAATGGATGGGGGGGGGGGGGAGTGAATCTTCAGATTCATAGCAAAGAATTTCTTGACTGAGTGCTTAACTATCAACTAATCAATGAGAAATGTACCAAGAAATGAGTCAACAATTATAAAGCCTTCAATAAAATTCAATCAAGTCACAAGTAACTGCTTAATCCAATCAGTCATCAGCACCCAAACATCACAGGTGAACATTTGAAATATTAGCTTTCAGGATATCACTAAGAATTTCCAAGTATTAAAATTAGAATTTGATCAGCATCCCACTAGCATCTCGAGAAATGTGGTTGGAAACTTCTGATGTGGCATATGGTCTAGCATTTGTTATTGTTTCTTTGTTTCTTAATTTATTTAAATCTGCTTCTGCAATTTCATAATTATATGCCACTGAATGGCAGGATCACTGTGATTAACTGAGAAGGACATGGAAGGGACATAACATAGACAATGTTAAGGCATGATCCCAGCATGTGCCTGGAAGGTTTAATGAAAGGAACAACAAACCTCAGTCAGGATGCCTGGCCTCTGGCTCAAGAATCACATCTGGGACTACACTGCATCATGCTGATCAGTATTGCTCCTTGTAGTTTATGTAGCTGTCAGCAGACATACTTCAGAGTACAAGATCTTTAAAGAACAATTCAGACAAAATAAAATATACATAACTGAAAAATAGTATTGATACTTCAACAAGACTAGTGAAATGTGCTACATTATACAAAGAGGCAGCTATAGATCTGGGTGTGTTCATGTTTGTTGGTTATCTCAGTTCTGAAAGTTTTATAAACAGGTCACAATTATGAAACTTTCACTCACTGTTCAAGGTTACCTGATGGTGAGGAAGCAGGGTCGCTGGGGAAAACTCTGCCTGCAGAATTTTGACAATGTCGTAGCCAGGTCTCAGTCTGCATGGGAAGTTGCTGACCTTGGACGTGCTGTCTGCAAAGCAATGACATACAGGTAAGCTGTGTTATTTCATCTAAAATGCAATAATACGAATTTACACTATTTTTTTGACTGGCTTATTTCTAACAAAAGGGACAAATCAGACTGAACATGTTTCAGAAAAAAGTGCTGATAAAAAAGTCTGAACCTAAAAGACAGGAAATAACAAAGGAATGGAGACAATTTCATACTCATCAGGTTTACAACTTGCATTTTTCACTGAATAAGTTGAGGTGTTATGCTACAAGCTGGAAGGTTGAGGGGGGGGGGTCAATTTCCAATCTCATTGGATTTTTCAATTGACCTGACCCTTCCAGCCACGCTATAACCCTTGGGTCAACTCAACTTCTAACAGAAATGAGTATCATGAATCTTCTGGAAGTAGAGGGTGGCTGGAGCATGTGACTGACAACCTCACTGCAATCTTTGAGCCAATTTTCTAGAAAATGTGGGAGCCTCAAAGTCTCATAAACCTACGGGGCTCCACGGCCTGTTACAGGGACAGCTTTATTTATTATTTTATTTATTTATGTAGTATTAAGATGATCAAATTAAAGCTAAGGTGGAAGGGAGATTCAGCATAAACTGCTGAACAAATAAAAGGACACAAAATTTTGGTTGTAAAACCATAAGTGATGACACAACCTGGAACACAAAGTCATAGATGGGAAGATAATATTAACCCTTTCATAGCCACTGAACTAACTGGGCCAATGAGGCAGGTGTGGCTAGACCTGGCACAATCAAACCCGGACCTCTGGATCCGTAAGGAGCGCTGACCACTAGACCAGAGAGGTGGTCTAAATTACGAGTGGTACAAATGTAAAATAAAAAAATATCTAAAAGTGAAGAAACTGTACATCACAGTAACGCAAAAATTTCATATATGTAATTTGTTAGATGCATAAGACTCCGGAATGAGCTACTAGTTGGTGTCTATTTTATTCAAGTCTGCTGCCTGAATCCCACGGTTATCCCACATGACGACACCGTATTCACAAACTCATTTCATTGTGATAATCCCTAAAGCACATGTTGTACAGATTATCTTTGCTGTGAATGGAATAGGCACATCATTACAATTTCTATCCTCTGGCTGGCCAAATTATGTTTGTTACTGGCTTCCATGAAGTTTACTTTCACCACAGCACTGCAGCTTCTCAAGTAAGTGTTTCCCAGTCTATGACTTGGTTACAGAATAAACACTCGGCTGTAGTCATCAATAACAGTGTTTCTGTGCCCCTCACAGAAATTTTCATCATATGGTGAATGTTTACACACTTATATATGGTTTATCAATTACACTGTCCTAGCTCAGACTGTAAAGAACTGAATGGTAGGATGATTAGGTCATCCTAATCCAGAAGTGAGCCATATACCCTTAGCATCCACGATTCATTTAATTTCCCCTTACTTCCTCAAAACTTGCCACGTTGCAAATTTCTATCCTGAAGAACAAAGCGGTGTTGCTCCAAAACAGTGTTATACACCTACGACACTGCATGGCATCACAATCCTGAGAATAATAAACGTGTGTGTGAAACTGTCATAGAGTCTATCAGTACTCCTCCAGAGATTCTGGTAAAGAGTCCCATCTCTAGGATTAGGGCCAAATACAAGCACATTTCACATACTATCACATCAGATGATGGGTAAGTCCCTTCATCATGGATGTCCACATACCTGGTTGTCTCATCCACCTATAATTTGAGAACTGCTGTGAAACAGTATGAATACGCCCAGTGGACTTCAGTCCTTGTTGATCTGAGATCTCAAGCCAGATGGCCTGCCAGAAAAGAAGTGGGCAACATTGATGTATGAGGGCTATTGGGAAAGTACCATCTGGTGAGCTGTTAACAAAACAAGTAATGAGAAAACAAGTATTATATAAAAACAATATGTACATACTTAAGCTACTTCTCAACACAGTCACCGCCGGAATTGAGATATTTGTTGTAACGGGAAATAAGGTTTTGTGTCTGTGTCAAAGAAGTCTGCTGTCTGTGAGCTCATCCATGTTTTAACACCATCCATCAACTCCTCATTATTGTTGAAGTGCTATGATGACAACCAGTTCTTCAGGTAGGTAAACAGGTGGTTGTCACTCAGAGTGAGATCAGGGCTATAAGGAAGGTGGTCGAACAGCTCTCAGCGGAAATGTTCCAGAAGTGCTTACATGTGGGCAACTGTATGCAGACACACATTGTCATGGAGGAGCAATGAACTGGATGTCAGCATTCCATACCTTTTGTTCTGAATGGCGCTTTGAATTTTCTTTAGTGTTTCGCATTACACTTCTGATATTGCAGACCCTTGATGCATAAATTCCAGCATCAGCACTCCTCTCATGTCCCAGAAAACAGCTGTCATGAGCTTTCTGGCAGACAACATTTGTTTAAACTTTTTCGGCTTGTTGGTGCATATACTGTTTTGACTGCTCTTTGGTTTCAACATTTATAAATGTAACCCAGTTTTCACCATCTATTACTTGTAAAATGTGACTGAGAAATTCATCACCATCTTTGTGTGCACTTGTGAGCATCCTGCATCTTGCACAAAACTTGTGATACCCTAGCCTAGCTGGGATAATCTCATAGAGAACAGCGTGTGAAACTTGTGCAAATTCACAGGAAAGTTCTGAAATTATGAAGTGCCATCTTTCACAAATTTTTCTGTCAGCACTTTGAAAAAGAATACTGTTCACTACAGAAGGCCAGATGAACATTCTGTTCTTCATCGTGGACATCTGTTTGCCAGTCTTTGAACACTGTACACCATTGTCTTATAGTTCCTTCACTAATTACATTTTGACCATAAATTGCTCATAATTGACAATGGATTTTCACAACACTGATGTTTTCAGCATGAATAAAGTGGGTAACAGTGATAATTTCACAGCTGGTGTGATTATCATTGCAGGACACAGCTCACTCTGTAGTAAAAGGACAAACACGGGGTTACAAGACAATGAGTCATGTGATGCTACCATGTGTGTGCAAGCTCTTCCCTGCTCCTGCAGTAGTTGCCTAAAATAAATGGAGGTTTATTTTCTGAATATCCTTCATACTTTTTCTCTGGCACTTCCCACTCTGTCCTGAAGTCCTACCACTAAAATACAAGTGAAACACAACCATAGTAGTCTTGTATGAGGTCTGCATTACATACTGCGATAACCACAATTCAGTAATGAAAGGCTGAATGAGCTGTACACATAATGGAAATAATGTATGGGTGTGTGTGTGTGTGTGTGTGTATATCGCACAACAATTCACCTTGACCCTTTCCTCTCATTCATAATCAACGAACTCACAGGTCTCTTCTGAGTCAATCCTTTGTGTCAGACTGCTTGCAAGTGCTTACAAAATTATTTATATAATTCCACAATAGCAATATGATATTGCAAGCTGAGCCATGAGCTGACCACATAAATGTTTTGGACTAGCAGGTCTGAAAGTCTGCATAGGAGAGCAGTGATAGAATGGTCATAATGCAACATTACTGGGTATATTAGAAGTACCTTTGTGGATACTGTTGGATGACAAAGCTTAAACTGACTCAGTAGAGTCCGGTGACAGACTTTTATGAACAAGTAATAAACCATTTAGCTCCTTAAAGTGTATGGAATTTTTTGACTGGCTGAATAAATACAGACATTTCAGAGAAGGCTCTCCACTATAAAGGTAGGAGGCTAGTCAGCAACTGTGGGAGAACTGCTGATGGCCCAATTAGGGTATTATCCTAGCACTTTCCTCAAAGGACCGAGTGAAAACATGAAAAACCTGTAAGGATAACTCACAAAGTTACAAGAGAAACTGACCCCAGCCAAATCCTGGATATGACATACATGAGTCTTATTCTTACAGTGATTTTGAGAGAGTGAACAGAACAGTTGACACACCAAGCAGCAGCCGAGCTGACAGCTCACATTACTTTGAACTCGCATATTCTTCAGACGCATACAACAACTCACAGCCACGGTGAGTGATGCAGCAAGTGCAAATATAATCAGCCTTTCCAGTGCTAGGACCAGTTGCCTGAATTGGGTATTTGTACCATTCCTCACTTTACAGCCCCTTTCCCAGTGGCTCATTGTTTAATATTAATTCATGCTTTAAAATGCTTTATGCTTTATGAAAACTTCGGAATAATGGGAAGATGCTGTTTCTAGTAGCCATAACTTGCCAAATGGACTGTACTGGAAAGGGTGGTGGTAGTGATTATAATGAATATCAAAAGGAAACTCTTTTAAATTAGATACATCTGTATTTTATTGCTTTCTGACTTGTCCCTTGCTGGAGAGAAATGAACACTTCAACTCCACTGAAACGTCATAGCAAAACTAAACTAATGCCTGTATTTCTGCCAAGCTCTGATATATTTTCTGTAAAAATGTTCCACACGGTGGTTATGAAGATTTCTGTCTTCTTGGATGTAATGCAATACAGTGTGTTGAAAGTGAACCAGTGTTTTGGAGCAACAGGTCACTTCCATCTTCAGGGCTGAAGAGTAGGCCAAGCATGAAACCAGAATGAAGCAGATAAGCAGAGCTCTGCTCTCAGCTTCTATCAGTGGACTACACAGCATTATATCCAAGAATACAGAACTCTTCAAGTGGCTTCTCTAGTTACAGCACAGCCTGTAACTTCCTACACACAACATAAGGAACAAATTGTACCCCCCCCCCCNAGACGCAATGCAATCAAAAAGAAGTTGTACATGTCAGCTGTCGAGACCTGAGGTGTGGTATCCGACCACAAGCTATCAACCAGTGGGCCAGGTAAGTAGGCAGGACATATGCTGGTGCAACTAACCAATTCTCTGGTAGTAAAACCCAAAGTTCATAATATTGCTACCATCAAATCCTGAGCCAAATCTATTGAACTCCTACCCTCACAAACCAATTTTCCTGTCATCAATCTTAATGTTATCCTCCCAACTCCATCTTGGTCTTCCAAATACTCACTGTTCAAGCAGTGGCTGAATCAAAATTTTGTATGAATTTGCTACACCTCCAGTCTGGCCCGTTGTAACTGACTTCAATTGAAGTATGCTGCCACTGTAACCAGTGCTTTCCAAGCTCCTAATATTTCTAACACAGCCTATCCTGCTCCTCAAATGTTACCTGCTTCATTCCAAGAAACTATAGGTTTTGTAGGATTTGACTACATAGTGTTATATCCCAGAAGACAGAACTTCTCAACTGTGGCTTTTAATTTTTAATTTCTATCCACACCTTGGTTATGACATAGCACAAAATTTTTGCAACATAGAGATCTTATGACCTATTACACCAGGTACTGTCTGTGTGTGTCTGTTCCTAGTACAACATGTGTTCTATGTAGAAAGTAAACTTGGCTTAGCACTGCTGCCAGTAACTTGTCTTCAAGAGATGTTCAGTTTGAAACTAATAAAACAGCCAACCAGCTACCCTGACTGATATACTTCATACTTTTCTTCCATCCTTTCAGTTCCCCAAAAGTGATAACTGATTCATTTCACTTAATTATCTTTTCATCTCACTCAGTACTAAATGGTCTCTGCAGTGAATACGTCATTAAGTAACCTATGAACTAATTTTTTTAATGCAATGCAGGGGTGCACTGTTCTATATTACACTAGCTTGATAAGACTTGGAAAAACTGATGACACACTCTAACACCAACACATTTTTTGCGCTTATTTGTCAAAGCAGTCAAGGACTGGGGAGTAAATATCAAAATAATGTCTAGAATTCATGCTAAAACAAGAATGAAGATTTAAACAGTAACTCAAAAAGTTTTCCCACCAATTGCACTGACTTACCAGTCCTACGAATCTTGTATTGTTCCCATTACATTTGGGTAATCTACCTCGTGAGCTCATAATTCATCAATAAAATACAATTCATCTTACGAGATAGCATGTTTGGTTTGTATATACAAGGTCACAGGATTAATCTTACTCGAGTTACAATGTACAGAGTACTGTTATTGCTGTTGTTGTCATCATCACTGCTACTGCTGTAGTGGTGGTAGGGGCGGCAGTGGTAGTAGCAGTAACAGCAACAGCAGTAATTAGTAGCATAATTTTGGAAGAACATTTTGAGGGCAGAATCTATATTAAATTTCTCAGACATAATCATGAAGTTCTGCACCACTGCTGTGTTTGTAGTCATTGACTAATGAGAAATATTTCACACATAATTTTTAGAAATGTACATAATCTTTTTAAAAAAGAATCATATTCCTAGCCCCAGTATTCCGTAAGCTACTTCTATGAAACTGAAACCTAAATAATAAATCTTGCATGGCTGATGTTGTTTCACACCCTACAAAATAATTATATCAATGTAAGTTTCGTATTTTTCAAAGACCCGTTATCCCATCTCAAAAGTAATGTGTCTCCCATGCAGGGGTACTGACATTCAGAGAATATGTACACACATACTCAACACTTCGTTTCCCTGAAAATATGTTTGTTGTCACTTTAATGCTCAGTTCTGGCCTCAATGTTGAAACACATAATGCACCCACAGATGTGTGATTCTTGACAAGTTTGTTGGCATGTGTCAATTGTTTGTAGTACGCATACCAGCTTAAAAACTACATGTGTTTATATATAAAAATAAGCAGTAAAACCTGAATTTATTGACATGTTAGAGTAGTTCATTAGGCTTAGTAAGTCTGACAGTTAATAACCAAACTGTAGTTTTGTGCAGAAAATGGAGCATATTGGATTATTTGACTACACTACACAATAGCTCTGTTTCGAAGGATCACTAGGGTTTCTCAGTGCAGTGTTTTACTGTAGAGGCCTACTATTGAAACACTTGAACACATTTAGAGAGACATGACTAGAGTACGGAAAGAACATTCAGAAACAGAATGCTTGCAGAAAGTCAGAGTGCTTACTCTTAAGGACAGCAAAATCATTTAAAGTTAGTGTGCACACACGCATGCACACAGTAGTACATCACAGATGATATGACAGGAATAAAATGGGCTTGCATAACAGTAAAGCTCTTGACTCATATTTGGGAGATGCTCGGTTTGAATCTCAGCTGACATTGGGTATCCTGACTGAGAATTTTGTCTTCCTCAGTTCCTCCAGGCAAATGCCAGGATTGTACCTTAATTAGGCCATGACTGCTTCCTTTTAAATCCCTTCCAAATCATCATTCATCTGTCATCCAGCCATTCAATGTTTTATAGTCTAGCTGCTGATAATGTGTGTTAGGCTCAATGATCAAAAGCCATTGTGTAAGTTGGGTCAGTCATTTCTGCATACAATACATATAGTTTACATTTCAAAATCCAAAAATATAAATCTTAAAAATATATGGATCACAAGAACAAAAACCTTCTCATGGTATGTTCTGTACTGTAAAAAAATTGGCGAACTAATCATCCAACCCAATGATCTAATGACTGTTCTGTAATGGACATGTGCCAACATTGAGAACAGTTCTCGTCATTCCAGGATTGTGGGAGGAGGGAACGCTGCCCCAGGCTCGTGGCCATGGCAGGCAGCACTGTACAAGGAAGGGGAATTCCAATGTGGAGCTACCCTCATTGCAGACCGTTGGCTGGTCTCAGCAGGGCACTGCTTCTACCAGTAAGCCACAGTATATGCCTTTGAGATCACTTGTTATCCATAGGAACTGAAACGTTACAGGCCATAAGGCTTTATTTAGTTATTTATCTTGCCAACAGACAATATAAAGATGTGCTTCAAACATATACTGAGCAATTTAAAAATGATCAATGAGGAAATCTGGGTGTACCATATAAAGTGACACTTGTAATGGGCAGTTCGACCCATCATCTGCATTCCAGATTTCATTTACTCATTTTATGTTTATCAATGAAAGAATTGTGCAATTTGAAAATATTTATTCTGTTTCTGTAAAGAGGACAAACTCCAGGCGTCAGGGCTACAAAGTTTTAACTCCAAAGAATAAGACCAGTTAAGAAAACTTAGGTATAGATGGGAGCAGAACATAAAGCACATAATAAAGAGGTAAATCTGAACCCATATAGTGGACTGATCTGGGTCACAACAAGACCCAACAGTAGGTATTTATAAACATTGTAACAAATTTCAAAGTTACATAACACATGTAATTTCTCAATCAACTGAATAACTATCAAGGGCATACAAGGGAAACTCTGTTAGTTATTAAACTTAATTTGATTTTTTCCACATTAAAATAACATGACACAGTTTGTACTTAAACATTCACAGATTCAGGATCAAGGCTCTACGTAAAGTTCTCAGCAAATCATTTTTACCGTGACACATTCAGTTACTCTACGATTTTAATCAATGATCACGTTTTATGAAAACTGTCATAAGCTGTCTACAATAATATATAAGAAAATGGAAAGGACATGTTGAAAAGATGAGCTCTGATAGGATCTGTTCCCACCCAAAATAAGATGATGCATAACGAGATAGGAGCATCAGGTCATGTAATAACCATAACAGGTGAATGGCCTAATACTGGAAAAGTTTTTCAGTCACGAACATTTCCTTAATTACAGTATATCAACACAGTGGAAGAAGATTCTTATGAGTAAGTTTAATATGTTTTGTAATTTTCATAACAGGCCAGCTAGAGTTCATGCATATATTTGGGAATGACTTACTTGCAGTGCTCTTGACGACTACTGGGTAGCAAGACTGGGCGCACTACGCAGGGGTTCCAGTTTCCCTTCTCCATATGAACAGTTACGTCCTGTGTCGCACATCATACTTCACCCAGGTTATGTGGATGCGGGTTTCCTCAACGACATTTCATTACTTCGACTGAGGGATCCTGTGCAGTTCAGTGACTTTGTCCGACCAGTGTGTCTACCTCCAGCTCCGATCCATGATGGGCGACTCTGCACAGTAGTAGGGTGGGGACAGCTCTTCGAAGTTGGACGCATCTTCCGTAAGTCACGCAGGATCCATGCTGCAATGTGTTACTGGAAGTTTCATACTTGTTCCTCTTACATTACATTTTTGGTACAGTTTCACTATGCCAACCACCTGGATTATACGTCGCCTAAATAAACACTTCAATTGAGGCATGCATTTCACAAGGTGCTTCCATATTTTTGTCCATCCCTTGTATAATGCTAATTTACAACATGAACATAAATTATATGTTGAGGGCATGGAATTGGTCATGGCTAATTTTAAAGCATTATCCCAATATTTTCCAAGAGGAAATTACAAAAGGAATAGTTCAGAAATCTCACATGGGGACATGCTGTCTTTTAGAAGCAGAATATAAGCTATGGAACTCCCCACTGCATAACTTTCTCCACTGCTCTGTTAAGAACTTCATAATATGTATTCTTGACCAGTATTACTGGGATCATCAAACGAATAGAATAACATATACTATTCATGGGAGATGTAGGTATAAATGGGATGATATTAAAATGGATCTTTAAGAAGTATTGTGAGGCTGTGGTCTGGATTCACCTGGCTCAGGTTAGGAACTTTGCGTTCCATAAAAGACAGAGGGAACTTCCAGACTGGGTGATGATTAGCTTCTCAAAAAAGACTGTCCCACAGTTCTCTCAGCGTGACAGACAAAGTCTGATGTCCACATAAAACGTCTGCCAATAACTTGTCAACGCTGTCCTATCTAATGTATGTGTATTTTAAAATAGTCTCTTCTCACATTTCAGCGGACACTCTCCAAGAAGTGCAGTTGCCGATCATCTCAACAGCTGAGTGCCGCAAGCGGACCCTCTTCCTGCCACTGTATCGAGTCACTGACAATATGTTTTGTGCAGGGTTTGATCGTGGTGGTCGCGATGCATGCCTGGGTGACTCTGGTGGGCCTCTCATGTGCCAGGTTAGTTGAATTAGTTCTACTTCTGCCTCAAAAAGAGTTTAAGCCATTGAAAGATCTTATATACTGCAACTTACTGATGTATTTCCACATTCATGACATTACTCACTCTACAGTTTTACTTCTTTTATACACTGGCACTTCAACTTTTATTGTATCAGTTCCCAAAAATTGACATAATTTATAGAAAAGCCAATAAGACTCCCAAAATGCATACTACATTATGTCACACTGAAGAAAGAAATAAAGAACATGTCTATAAACAAAGTACTGAACATCACATTCAAATGGGTAGCACTCCTACTTCTTAATTAGGAGGTTTCTGATTCAAATCTAGGCCGAGAGACTGGCTATCATGACAGGTTTTCATGGTGTTCATCAGTCCCTGCAGCATATGCTAGGCCAGTGTCCCCCATTCTTATCCTTCAGCAAGATACAGTCTGAACTATTGACAGCACCACTAACTTAACCATAAATGAAATAAAATACGGAAAATAAAGTGCTCAAAGAAATATCTGTATTTTTTTTAATTGCTAGTGGGGTGAGACTAAGTCCCTTGTACTGCGGCCACTTCTGGCCTCTTGTACCAGCCCCAGATGATAGGTGAGGGTGATTGTGGAGCAATTGGTGGAATGAAGATTGGCAGGGGAAATTGAAGTACTTGGAGAAAACCTGCAGCAGCACCACTTTGTCCACCACAAATCCCACTTGACCAGACCCAGGATCGAACCTGGGCCTCCGCGGTGGGAAACCAGCGACTAACCGCTTGAGCTATGGTGCGGCCGAATATTTGTACTTAAGATGGATGAACTAGGGAAAGCAGGCCATTATATAATCAGAACTTCATGATTTATGCACATCACCTAGTATTGTCAGAGCAGTTAATCATGGAGATTTCAATGGGGTGAATAGGATTAAACAAGAAATACATACAAAATTTTGGTATGGGGACCTGTGCACAGTAGTCAATGGGAAGACTGAGAAAGGTGGGAGGATAATATGAAAATGATCTTCGGGAAATAGGATGTGAAATAAAGCAGCTCAGAATTGTATTTATTGGTGGGCCTTGATTTTAGTGGCACTGAAATCCCACAGAATTAGTATATTTATTTATTATTTTTCCCAGGAGAAAGATGGACACTGGTCACTGTATGGGGTGACCAGTAATGGCTATGGCTGTGCACGAGCAAACAGACCTGGTGTGTACACCAAAGTGTCCAATTATGTTCCTTGGCTTCAAGCAACAATGATGCAGCAGGTATCATCACTACGAGACAGCAAGACACAATGCAAGGGGCACCGATGCCCACTGGGAGAATGTCTGCCTCCCACCAGGATGTGTAACGGGTTCATGGAGTGCAGTGATGGAAGTGATGAGAAGGGCTGCTGGTGACACACACACCATAAAGTTTCCTTTCTTCATTATTTGCCTGTATGTTTCATCACACAACTTATCGATATTTAAAACCCTCATGGTCAAGTTTCTTACACCAGATTAGACTTCTGCAGTTCTACCAATAAAGATATTGAATTGGCAGTTTAGAACATTGCCATAAAGTTCCAGTAAATACTAACACAACTGTCTCTCCAGTATGTTCCACAGAGATATGAGGAGTTTTTGGCCATTAGCCATGTGAACTACAACACGAGACACACAGACACTACCCAACCCAAAAGGGCACCTGATTAAAAATGTGAAAATATTAAAGAATGAGTTATATACTGCAATATGCAAATTGCTGGAGAATTTTGGATTGAATAGCACATTTCCAAATACAGACATTAGGTTAATGGTCATGACCCAAATCAGATTAATTAGAGTCCTCAGTAGGGCCAAGAAGGAACACTAACAGACTGTTTTCCTTTTAAATACAGAAAGGTCCCTGAACACCTGAGCTTGAGGACTAGAAGGTCATGTTGACAGTTAAATAAATGTTGTTTCAGAGAAAGGTTGGAACGATCTATTGAAACGTGACTTTTGTTATACTAAGAAAGCTTTATTCACTAACAATACACAGATGTGGTGGCAGTGTGGAGCAAGGGTGCATTTTTCTAAATGCATATATAAATCATAAGATGTATAAAAATGATGCAAGACAAAGCATTTACGGATGGGAGAGAACAGATAAATCTTACATACAAGGGAGAGAAGGAACAATACTGTCAGATATGGAGTATCATTCCATATTGTACAGTTACTTACTCTGACATTTACGTCTCAGCAACTGAGATGTAGCCAGAATCTCTGGCAACTTGCTAATTTGCAAAGCACAATTTTTCATCCTGACTAATCTTTTTAAAATGTGTAATTGCAGTACTTGAACAATATTAAATTTAACTGCTTAGGATCTGCACCACAGACATCACCTTCCAACACAAGACCAACATGCTATTCAAAATGGACTGTAGGGATGCTTGATGCTTTGAAAGAAAATTCCTATCTGTTCACACATAGCAACAGAAGGCAGCAGGTGACCATATACACAGAATGTTTGGTGCAGTTTTGGACCATCACAGTCCTAATCTGCAGAGATAACTTTATTTGAAAGCACAGATGACCTGCAAGTTTGGGCTCTTTTAGATTTGTTCCAGAAACTTCAACCACAATTTCTAACTCTCACCATACACATGGACTTAGAACAAGTCAGAACTGTGGTGGCTTCTAATAGTGAAGTATTTTTTTGATATGCATGACTATATTTCCCCTTTTCATATAATGGACTTTTAATCCATTTGGAAGAGCACAGAGACGTTCAACCATCAAGGAAACCTGGGAGCAGCGCACAGTGGACATAACATTTCTCACATATTGCTCCTGTAACTGCTGATAGCACAGAATGAGTCACTGTCGCAATAATAGTCAGTCTTTGTTAGAGGTGTCGGATAGGCAGTCGACATTTATACTGAAATGAAGTTCACTATTGAACAGTGTGTTTATTGTTGAAACTTTTGCAAGGAAAAACTTACAGAAAATGTATCCGTAAGTTTCATAGTAAATATACTGACCCATCAGTTCGTATAAAGTTGCAGGTATCCAAGCTTGTGAAAAAGTGGCATGTTATTTCATTCTGCAGAGCTTCAGTGCTGCAAGGATTATTCTTGTAGACTTTTCCTTTCAGGTTTCCCCAAAGATAAAAATCGCAAAAATTGAGATCTGGGAGGTCACAGTCCTCTCCTGATTATTCTGTCTTCAAACACTTCCCATGCTGTGACCATGGTTGCATTAGCCGTATGTGCCATAGCGTTGTCTTGCTGAAAATACCCATACTGTCTTTCTTCAGTAGCCAGTTGACTGAAGATCGGATTCCGTATATCATTAACGTAGCGGTCAGAGTTCACGGTTTTGTGGAAAAATAAGGGGCCAATGATTTGCCATGGACTTACAGCACACCACACCCCCACCTTTCACTATGTAATGGCACTTGCTGTATAGCGTGAGAATTTTCATCACTCCATATTCTTACAGTTTGTGCACTGACATGGCCACTAACGTGAACCCATGCTTCATCAGTCATGAACAGAAGCTTGGATCCACGATTCCATTGTACACATTTTGCAGCAGCCAATTGCAAAATCGAATTCTTGCTTCATAATCTGGTTGTTTCAGTTCATGCATAACTGTCATTTTATATGGGCGAAATTTGATTAATTTTGTGGTTGTGAAAGCAGATCCTAGCGAAACTCCTGTTTCCTGTGTTAAGCATCTTAATGATTTTCAGGGACTGACCTGTAGTCGTGCCTCAATATCCGAAACCTTTTCTTCAGTCAGCCCAATCCTCTTCGATTGCTTCTTTATGTCACACTGAACCTGTGGCCCGCCACTTTTTCACAAGCTTGGATACACATAACTTTGTGGGAATTGGCAAGTCAGTATATTTACGACAAAACTTACTGATACATTTTCTGTAAGATTTTTCTTGCAAAAGTTTCGGCAAAGAACACATGTCCTTCAGTAGTGAATTTCATTTTAGTATAAATGTCGACCTATCAATACGTCTTAACAGACACTGACTATTAACGTGACTTACTGCAGTGACAACATCAGACCACCTGATGGTGCACATTTATCAGCACGATCAGCACTAATGACTCATTCTGCTATCGGCAGTTACAGCAGCACTCTGGGAAAAATGTTCTTTCCGCTGGCCGTTGTTGCCAGGTTTCCTCGACCGTTGAACGTATTATATTTATTAATGACATACTATTACTGTATGCCATGGCACAACAAATAGGACATATATTCTTATGCAAATACATAATTTGGCTTTAGTGTTGGCATCCTTACTTGTCATCAACGGCGCACAGAATACTCATCAATGATTACTACTTATTTATTTCTCTGATACCAGTCAATTAACATCAGGTGGCCAATTTTACAAATGAAAAGCGATTACTGAATTTCTTATTTACTGTCTTTTGTATAAACTGGAGACTATATCCATTTACAGTGAGACTGTTCCTCTGTGTGTGAACATATAGACAGTTATACTAGAGATGACTTTCTTGATGCTTTTGCTATATGTATATTGTTTTATGTCTAACTGTGGTATTAAATGCATAATTTTGTTATGCTGTGTATAGTAAATGTGTGGTACACCCATTTTATTTGGAACATGATGGCATACTATGGAAGTTATACTTAAGAGTTGTACATTTTGATGGTTGTGGTTGTCTGCAACACATTCAGTCACAGCCTTTAACACATACAACCAAAATAACTCAAACAGTATGTTGTGGTGATCCTCATACAATCTATGTAACACACACAAAACACTAAAATTATATACTAATACCAAAGTGAGATGTGAAAACGATATACTTAGATGACCGCATCAAAAGACCATCTTCAATATAAGCACATCACCATACACTACAACCAACACACAATAAATATATATCCTCATTCTGTGCACTGTTTTTTGCATAATGAACTTTGTCAATGATCAGTTACATAAGTGAGACCATAATAGTCTTGCTACGACCTATTTTGAGATGGAACCTGTGCCCCTTTACAGCCAAGTTACATTCAGAAATCTTAATATATTTTAAAAAATTTGACATAATTGCCTATGTTATACATTAAATCCACGGCATGTGCACAATCTCACTGAATCCGGTCTCTAATTAATATGAACGCAATTCACTAATCTGCCTTTATTTGTAAAAATAACAATCTGATAATGATCATGAATTGATTTAAATATGTAATGTTTCACAGAAATAAATAATTAACAATTATAGTTGCGTTACGTGTGACTGCTGTGTGGACAAGTGATGAAATAAGGACATAACTTCCCTACTGAAAAGAAAATTGTGGGTCAAGAGTTTGTTCAAGGATACTTTGATGCAGATCAAAAAGACTTTTCGACAGATTTCACCCAATAATACAAACTTTTCACTGTGGCATATGAAATCTGGAGTCTTAAATTGTGGTTCCTTTTTACACATTAGTGACCAATAACAATTTTGATCTGTCACAGACTCTACCTACAGACCTCTCTGCTATGGGTGAAGTCTGCTGATAATATCACAAGGATATGCCCAGCTATTGGGAATAAACCAGCTGGAATAATGGGGAATCCTTACAACTCATCTTACATTTCATGTATCCCACTACCTTTGAATCAGTCAAAGATCCTAGAATTAACACTGATATCCAAGAAGTTCTAAATAATCAAACTCTGTATTATCATCATAACATAATCCTTTCACTGTCATTCTAAATGTGTACCCTATCTGCACCATGTTAGCTGGAGTACATAGCTTGCTACAAAAACATTATTGTAGTGACCATTAAAGGATAAAACTGTATGCACAAGACATTCATAATACACTGTCATAAACAACTTCCTTCTATCTCACTGTAAACTATCTACACTGAAGAAAATAATGCAGACAGGTGGTGAGTTAATTTCTGACACAGTGTTGATATCTGTTCTGAGAGATTAGGAAATCAAAATGATTAACTGCACATTTGAGTGTGCCTGAATGACAAATCATCAGTTATTGTTATACTATCTGATTACATATGAATTCCTAACATGTAAAATACATACTGAAAAAACTAAACAATGTTATCTTTTGGTGAGGAGACAAAATATTTATAGGGATGGTACTTCCATGCAGTGATATGGGTTTATCATCAGATTTAAGTTTGTCTCTAGTACTCACAGTGCTGTGAAAGACAACAAAGGTATCGTGTATCTTAATAAACTGAGTACAGGTTTGTTTAACTTAGTTTCTTCATGGCCAATCTGAAATTAAATATAAGTAAAATATGAACACATATGTGAGGAGGCAGGACACACACTGCCTTTGCCAGACTTCCGACTAGTCTCACTTAATGTGACCATTCCATTTATAACACCAGTGAACAATGGTATAAGACAAGTTTCTTCTGGTATTCAAATTTTAAATGAGATTTTGTTTTATTATTTTATAAGGGTCTCGGTCTTATTAATTTTGCTATATTCTGCTATGTCAGGAGGAGCAAAAGTTAAAGTAGTAACATAATGCAAGACTCATTAAAGCCTTGAAATCAGATGTAAATAATACATCCATGAGCTGCTAATTCAAGACATACTCAAAAGGAAAATTTTGTGGCAGTTATTTTATGTTTTATCAAAATATGTACAATCACCATTACAAATAAAATTAATAAAAAGGAACGTTTGTGGACAGTGAGTCATAAACACATATTTGGGAATCTAAACATCCAGTTTAATCTCATAATATTGATCATTCATATTTCTATATGAAATGGGACTTCATACCTGAATATTTCACAATATTCATATTGTTGGCTTAATAATATAAAAATACAAATTTTAATTTACTTACAGCCTTACAGAGGGCTTTGTAAATGAAACTGGACGCCAATTTATCAGTATTTCTGATTTATAGTGAAATATATCATGTATTTAATTTTGAAGATGTAATCATTGTGTATATATATATATTATATGCAACATCTACTTCACTCTATTTATTTTGCAGTAGAATTTAAAATTTTGAGCGAATGGCACTGGTTTATATACAAGTAAGTGTGATCCAAAATGAAGTATTACTGCCAATTGTAAATACTGTACAATAATAAGTTAATAAATAATATTGTAAATTTCTGTCACACTTACTCTCCTGCTCAAAGCTGATATCCTAGTTGAATCTTGGCAAGGAATTGAATATCCCGACTGAGGTTTTCCTTACTTCCCAAAGGGCAGATGTACAAAGAGTATTTTCAATATACCATGGCCACTTCCTTGGTCATCACTCCAAAGCCAACATTCAGTTATCCTATCTCATTCAATTTTATCTAACCCAAAAAGTGTATACATCATTGTAAAATAAAAGACTATCAATCAATCAAGTATTCTCAGGTATGCATAACTTGTAAATCCTTATATAACTTCAGGTCTGAAATTTCCTAATTTTCTTCATGTGGTATGCACACCGGTTCAGTAAATTACATTTACACTCTTAACAGTATGCATCCTGTTTTGTGCTATAAACAAGGTTCACAAAATGTGTACAAAAGTATGCAGTCTACACAACAATATTCTGTATTTAAAACAAAGCAGACACTATCCTATCAACATTTGTTTTTATTGATGCAACATGTTTCGACCCTCATACTGGGTCATCATTAGGCATACGAGTACAATGATACAAAATTCAGTTGTTAAACTGTTACAAAGTCTTAAATTTATTGCAAAAATACTTCATTTTCCATTTTAGTACAATTTTAAGTGTTATGATTTAATCTTTAGTCTCTAATTTCTTAAATTGTATTATGAGTATTTAAAATGTTTAACTGAAAGACTCAATTTATGCTTTTAAAAACACTCAAGCGCACAATAAGGATCCTTATCAAAGAATTAGATGCAATTGGGTAGACACAATTCAACAAATGAGCCTGATGATGACAAAGTATAAGGGTCAAAACATGTTGTGGCAACAAGATCAAATGTTGATACAGTAGTGTCTACTTTGTGTAGACTGCATACTTTTGTATACATTTTGTGTACCTCATTTACATTTATACTTCTGCTAACTGTTCTGGCCTCCAAAGTTTATTTGTATTCCAAAAATTATCTTG